AGCTGTCTTGTAATAGGATAATGATACAATTTAAAAGACAATATCAGGAGTCATCTAGCTGTTCTTGTGCCATTCTTGATCAGTCCTGACTGGCTATTAGTGTTTTTTTTCTTTTTTTAGGAAACTTTATTAATTTTCAGTAAAGAATAAGATGTAAGGAAACAGAAAAAAACAAAGAGAAAGAAAAGTTCAGAAAAAAAGAAATAAAGTTAAAAGTACAGAAAAGAAAAATAAAAAGAAAAGAGAGAGAAAGAAAGAATAAGTGACTTCCGACCTTTGTTGCAGATACAAATATAGAATACATACATTGTTTACTCTAAAAATATAACTAATACAAAATACTTCTCTAATCCTAAAATCTAATAATTATCAAAACCCCAAGTCAACACGGCATTTTATAATCCCAAGGGGGGGGGGGGAAGGAAAAGCAATTTTCAAAAATAAGAAAGGCTAACCCCCCCCCCTTTAAATGTCAATACATTATGTCACCGTCTCTGCCACTATCATTAATGTCCAATCCTAAATATCTGTGTGTGTTTGTCATCCACAGTAGGTGCATATAAAAATCTCACTAGCATTATCATATACCATCATCCCTTCCCAAAGATAATAGAAGGCACTTCCATATCACTCATATTCCCAACATTCCCTTATATAGTCCTAGTAACTTCCCCATTCAGTCATAATCAACAAGAAAGCCTCTAATAACTAGCAGGAGTCACAACCTATATTCATTTTTACTACCATCAAGTAACAATAATCTTAATAACATCGTCATACAGTTCTGGTCCCAAAAAATTACCACTAATCTGTCAGGAACCACAGCCTATGTTTTAAGCATAATCAAACAGATTTCCTTTATACACTTTCTGTTTACTTTTAAGAGGTTCATTCTTTAATCCTAACAGATAGTACTTCACTTATTGAGTCTTTATTATTTTCTCCTTGTCTTCTTTCAGGAGCAACTTCATTACATTCTGTTTATCTTTTAGTAGTTTATGACCCTCTTTTTGTAGATCCAAAATAGTATTACCATTAGACTGATCCAAGTTCTGTTTACTTTTAGAGAGTTCATTCTTTAAACCTAGCAAACAGTGCCCCACAAGTTGAATCCTGATTATTTTCTCCTTGTGTTCTTCTTTCAGGAACCATTTCAATAAGTTCCCTTTGTCTCTCAGTGATTTAAAACATTATTTTTGTGAATCCAAAACAATATCATCATTAAGCTGATCCAAAGTAACTGTAAGTTCAAAATAAGATTCTTTTTCTTTAAGATCCAGTAAGATATCCATCTCTCTTTCTTCTTCCATATCTTTATTATCTATATTATTCTCCAAAATATCCAAGTTGTATTCAACTTGCCTCACATCAATAGCAGGCTTATTTAATTTAGCATCGAGTTTCTTGTTCAAATTATAAAATTTATCCTCCAGTGAGTGAATTATTTTTTCTGCAAAGTTTTGAAACATAATCTTGAAACACTGATCTCTGCAGTTTGCTCTCTTAATAGCCATGGTCAATAGCGCTCTTTAGTGTCAAAAATACAAATTACATTCTATCCAAAGTAAATAGTGAAAGGGAGAAAGTCTCTCTATCTTGTTTAAAATTCCTCTCCAATCAGGGCCAATTAAGTAAGAAACCAAAGCAGAGTTCATGCAGTTCCCATATCCATATTCCAATATCAAAAACCCATCCTCAGATTTGCAGCAGCAGCAGCAGCAGCAAAAGATGAAGAGGAGGAGGAGGAGGAGGAGGAGGAGGAGGAGGAGGAGGAGGAGGAAT